AAAAAAAAAAAGGCATCATTTGGGGAAAAGGCTACATTTTCAAGTCTCAAAAAAAGGATACAATGGGATTAGAATTAGTAGTTTAAAATAAATATTGTTTGAAACCTCCACAGTCCTCTTATTGGCAGAAAGCTAAGCAAAGTGCCCAAAAATTACACACGACAGTCAATGAAAAGACAAAAAACAGTAGATCATTTCAGCAGCAAAATCAAGTCCTCCTGGTTTCTTAGTCCTGTCATAACGAAGACCTGCAGCTAAATCTTGATATGAATTGTCAAGAGTTCAACCGTTTCTTGTGGACTCCATTCTGTATATTGGAAAAAAGGAGAAATTTATTAGATATAAAGATATAGAAACCACTCTTAAAGCTGAACTCCGGATTTTGTTTTTAGAAAGTTCTTTAATGCTAGATTTTCCAAAGGCGTATTTACAGAAAACATAACAGAAGGGGGTGTTTATGGAGTAAGTGCGTATTAAACATCTGGAGGCACCCAGTGGAAATCAGTACCCATCAGAGGAGGAAGTACCACCGCATCGTTGCTGAAAAGACCCCCAAGGTGCTGTGGGAGGATTACCTAAGAGGCATTTATCTGGCTCATTGGTCCTGCGGGGCCTGGGCAGGAAGGTGAGGGGGCACCCCTGTCATTGTGGATTCACGTTTTGAAGCTGGGAGCACCTGCATGATTTTTTGTGTGTGTTTCACATTACAAGACGGACTTATATTATAATACTGGGAGGACACACAGCATTTGTGCTACTTATTGTTATTATAGTATGTGGATAGGGCATTTATAGCGCTGCACTACTTTACCATTTTATAACAGAAGCAATACTTCACATTTACATGAGAACACAGCCCAGTAATTGTAATTTAGACAGCTCTGTTAAACTACATTAAGTTGAAATATGGTAAGGGTTAAAAGGAGAAGTAAAGCCAAAGCTATGGATCAGGGGAGTGCTAAAGGCCGCTGTCGGTTTTACTTTGCTAAGCCAGTCCAGGCTTGGGAAAGATCCCGGACTTTGCAGTCAGTATCCACCCAGATTGCCTGGACTGGCAGCTGGCTCAGCCTTTCAGCATGCCACAGAGATATTGAGCAGGTTCCTCCCGCCCCCCTCCACAGCCCAGCGTTGGGATTGGTGATGCAGCCACCTAAGGAAGTATGATTTTTTTTTTTTTTTGCTATTCCCAAACTTATATTTTTAATCACACGTGAAGATTGACAGAGGGGGGACCGGGACAAATGAGGAAAGGAAAAGAGTAGGTAAATGTTGCAATAGGAAAGGGGAGAAGAAAGAAAGATATCACAAAAGACAAAGTATGATTGCTTTTGTCCCCTTTAAGATTAGTTAGGGTTGTTTTATTGGCTATGGTTTAATTTTGCTTTTTTATTGTTTTATATGATACAGAAGATTGAAATTCTTCCCATGCCTGCCTCACATGCTCTTGAAATGTGCCAGTCTATCTCGCAAACTTGGTCAACTTGTTCTACCCCAGTCGTTCAAAGAAGGAACTGTGGGCATTCTCCAAAGTCTAGGTATCAAGGTGCACGCTGCATTGATCAAGTGTCTGAGCCAGCATTTGGCTGGTAGAGTAAGGCCATCAGTTTCAATGTATAGTAGGAAGACTTCTTGGGAGTAAGAAAGGTTCAAACCTGTGGTTTGTCTGATCAGTGAATGGATTCTTTTCCAGAAGCTTTGTAGTGGTTGGCAATACCAAAAAAAAATGATTCAAAGAACCATTTTCTTTCAGACATCCCCAGCAAGTCATAGGAATGTTTGGATCTAATTTATGTAATCTCGTAGGGCTTCTCTACAAAAGAAATTTGTATTTCATTCCATTCCATGCACTGAAGGAACTACTATGAGCTAGCTGACAAGAGTTGGTTCATTGAACATTCGTTAAGCACTTCCAGTCCGGACACTTTTACCCCCTTCCTGTCCAAGCCAATTTTCAGCTTTCGGTGCTATCACACTTTGAAGGACAATTGCGCGGTCATTCAACACTGTACCCATGTGAATTTTTTAGCATTTTTCTGAGACAGATAAAGCTTTATTTTGGTGGTAATTATTCACCACTGAGATTTTAATTTTTTTTTGCTATGTAAATGAAAGTCCAAAATTTTTTTTAAAAAAGTGTTTTTCTTATAAAATTTTGCAAATAAATAGTATTTCATCATAAATCTTGGCCAAAATTTATTCTGTTATCTTTTTAGTAAAAAAAAAAAAAAAATTAACCAAATTAGTTTATAACCAAAAAAATAATAATTTTTAAAAACTTTTTTTTAAATTATTAAAAAAAAAAAATTTTCTTGTACATACTGTCACCCTATCAGTACAGTGTCACCATGGTGACACTGTACTACTTGTGAGTGGTGATGATTTTTTTTTTTTTACACCGATTGCTTTTACACCCATAAAGGCTGTAAAAGCAATCATTTCTCCTCCTCTCCAGCTGCATTATTGCAGCCATTGAGAATTACTGTGTGAGCTGTGACTGGTTACAGCTTGTCACAAGGTGCAAGGCTGTTGTGAATAGCTTTGTACCATGTGACCTCTGTGATCATTCATAGATTTCACACGTAGTCAGAAGTGACATCTTGCTTACTACTCTGCATGTGATCACTGATTGGCCAATCAGTGATCACATGATCGGGACCTCACACAGAGGTTGCGCCCCATGATCAGTGTTCCACTGCGGTGCTGCGCGCTTCCAGGGATTGCGCACAAGCAGGGTGCGGGGAGGCCAATTATAAACGGCCACCCGACCATTCACTACCACTGTCCGGCCATTTATATACAACGGCCGGACGGGAAGTGGTTAATGAGATCTTTAACTTATTTTCCCCCTTTTTGTTTAAAGGGATACTAAAGGTTATTTTTTTTTGGTAAAATAATAAACATATCTATACTTACCTGCTACGTGCAGTGGTTTTTGCACACAGCAGCTTGGATCCTCCCCTTCTCGGGTCCCTCACAGGCTCTCCTGGCTCCTCCTTTCTGTCAGGTGCCCCCACAGCAAGCAGCTTGCTATGGGGCACCCACTGCTCTGTGTGTCCATTCACACACACGAAAGCTCGGTCTGGCCCTGCCCCCTCTCTCATCGTGATTGGCTGACTGGCTGTGATTTAAAGCAGTGGGATCCAATGGCTCCTGCTTGCTGTCTCAGCCAATGAGGAGGCAGAGAGCCAGGACAGCCGAGGCTGTCATGCACATCACTGGACCTCGATGGGGCTCAGATAAGTATTGAGGGGGATGAGGCAGTGCTGCACACAGGTTTTTTTACCTTCACTTGAGCCTATACAACTTCTTTAAAGCTCAAATTGGGGGGACTAAAAAAAGTATTTTAGAGTGGAAAAGATTCAAGAGCAGGTGTAATTGTGTTTGAAATGAGCATTAGTCAGGAAATGTTGGATTTAAAAATATATCTACCAATGTAAATTCCGTATGTCTGTCCGAGCCAGTATCTCTGTCTACAGCTGGGTACACGCTATAAGAAAAACCGTACACACCAAAAGATAAATTCTGTACGAGGAATCGATAGTTTGATTATCGAATATTTGGTCATTAGTATAGAGCTTTCAACAGCCGATTCTGACTGTTCAGATGAAAAAAAAAAAAAAGATGCACTCTATAAAATGTTTATCGTACATGAACACAATGTCTGATCTGTCGATCAATGTGTACAATAATCATACAGAAATGATCAGATAGAAAAAAATTAGCATGATCAGAAGCAAAGAATGTCCCAGAAGAAGGTGGCAACAAGCATAGGAATCTTACACAAGAAAGACCGTCTGCCTTAGTTGTTCTAAAATTACCATTGTTGGTTACATCATAATACACACCTTTGTGGAAAATCAGATTGTTCGTCTGATTTTCTTATAGTGTGTACCCCACCTTCCATAGAATCTCCTGGATTAAAAAAGGTTGCCACCAGCAGTGGGATCTTGTTACTCTGGAATTAGGTAAATTCAGGATTGTTACCTTGTGGGAAGCCTGTATTTCCTTTCACGGATGTGAGAGGACTCCTTTGGGTATAAAAAGTAGGAGATTTAAAGCAGGCATAGAAAATTTGCAGGGCAGAGCCCAACAGTGGGTGTTTTAGTCTAGGGCCTAGTATAACTCCTTATGTAATGACCACAGTATAATTGTGAGTTGGCATTTAGTCCAAGTTTGTTCTATTTTTATCTATTTCTTGAGATTTTCATTAAGAAACCAGTCCGTGATTCACAAAAGATGACATGCGTAATAATGGTGTTTGGAATTTGGAAAACCTAGACCCCCTTTGCTTTTAAGAAGACAACATGTGGTTTTTCTGAATATGAGGTCCCTACTCTAGCCAAATAAAATGGTTGAATGCTTTTTCAAGGTAATTGAAGAATTCTGAAGAAATCTATAGGGATGGTTTCAAATATGTATAACCAGTGAGGAAAAATATTCATTTTTATGATTACAATGTGGCCTAACCACGAAAAGGCTTTTTTTCCCCATTTGTGGAGGTTTTGCTTAATTTGTGACAACAAATGGAGAAGATTTAAAGTAAAAAACCATGATAAGATGTCCAGACAGATAGTTGAGACTCATGTAAACAAGTTAAGGAATACAATTAACAAATGAATTTTACACTTTAAAAATGGAAATGGTGCAGGTACTCCAATTGTGACTTGATATGAGCTTTTTGCAATCCACTGTACAGCAATGCTCAGAGGGAGAAGCAGCACAAGGAGAATTATAAAGGGAAGAGTGAGCTAACCTATATAAAAGTTGAGGCAATTAGTGTTTTGCTTCTCCTTTCACTTCCCAGTCACAGATGCATGGTGGGAAAGAGACCTATAAATGTTACTAAACTGCAGCACAGAAATCTTAGATTTTTGCAGACTTCAGTTCCACTTTATGTCTCAAAAGTTATCTGAACTTTTTTGGATGGACTGACCCTTTAAGGAAAAAAAAAAAAAAAAAACTGGAAAAGTGAAGACAGTTAAAACATAAAATAACTTACCCTAAACTCTCCCATCTGTTTTTCCATCCAAAGAGCGAATAGGAGAGGATACTGCTGCTAGAAGTCCACTTACTATCTCTCTTCTGATGTCTCCAACAATAGATTCTTTGATCTGGAGAAAGACAGCAGATGTAAGTATTTCAGTCAGGTGCACATGCTTCCTTCACTCTATTACAAAGTCATTCCCCTATGAGAAAACTTAAAAGGAAATGTAACAGTTGTACATATTTTTTAGGTGGTCATAATTGAAGAATAAAGTCAGGTATACAAAAATGTTGCATTTTAATATTTAAATATGTAGTCTTCTACCCAGCCATCAGGTGGAGCTGTATTCTCTTTTTACTTTGAGTTGTGCTAAAAGAAGATGTACAGGTCTTAATAAGCCATCTTAACCACTTGCCCTCCTTAGGATTTACCCCCTTCCTGACCAGGCCATTTTTTTGCGATACGGCACTGCGTTACTTTAACTGACAACTGCGTGGTCATGCAACTCTGCACCCAAATTAAATTTGCGTCCTTTTCCCCCCCACGAATTGAGCTTTCTTTTGGTGGTATTTGATTGTCTGTGTATTTATTTTTTGTGCTATTAAAAAAAAAAAAAAAAAAAAATTTTTTTTTACTTTTTGCTATTAACCATGTCCAGTAAAAAAATGTTAAAAAAAAAAGTTAAATAAAAAAAAAAAAAAATCAAAATTTAGTCGTAAATTTAGGCCAAAATGTATTCTGCTACATGTGTTTGCTAAAGAAAAATCCCAATACGTGTAAGTTAACCTCTTCACGCCTAGACGCAGAGTGGCCGCACATTTCTTTCTATTAAAAAAAGACATGTGCTGAGAGCGTACGCCCTGCGCGCTCCCAGCACACACATGCCCGGTACTCACGGAAAGGTCCCGATCTCCTCTTTCGATCAGGACCTTTCCCAATTATATGACCACCGTGACGGTGTGTCACATGACCCTAAACCCCGCCCGCCTCTGAAACCCTTAAAGGGCCAGCAGGCACCAGCGTGAAGGGGTTAAATGGTTTACGTGAAAGTCTTAGCGTTTACAAATGGCGGTATAGATACTGCAATTTTTTTTTTTAGTAATGGAGGCAATCAGCAACTTATAGCAGGACTGCGGCGGGCATTCTGACACTGGGGGGGACTGACTTGGTGTCACTGACATCCCCAGTGACACCAATACAGTGATCAGTGCTTTAAAAAAAAAAAAAAAAAAAAAAAAAGCATTGACACTGTACTAAAGGCACTGGGCAGGGAGGGGTTAACATGATGGGCGATCAAAGGGTTAACTGTGTGGCAGGAGTGTTTTACTAGGGGGCTGTGTCAGTGTTCTTCACTATAAGCACGTTTGTATTAAAATGCCTGAGTGTACAAACATGAAAACCTCAAACAGGAATGTTTATCCAGAGCAGATGTAATACACGCACTCTTCTTTAAATCCATGTTTGCAGAATACACACTGCTAGAGGTTGTCATTGATAAATCAAAGCTTAAGAGCTCGCCTAAAGACACAACATAGGAATAACAAACAGCAAAGTATAAACAGTTTATGGGAGGATACTCCACTGTCTCCAAGAAGTGCTTTCCATTAAACAGGTTTTGTATTAGGAGACTTACACACTAATAACTGAAGGTTCTGAGATAATGCTAAACACTTAAGAAAATAAACACAGTGGCTGGTCTACGTAAAAAAACGACCTGTGCAAATCTTACACGCATTTCTTTTTTCATATACAGGTCAAAACAGTAGTTAAAATAGTCTCCTGTTACTTTCCAGCAACAAAGTACAAGGGGGTTGACTGGCCATTACTACCTCATATACTGCTATAATGAATCCAACAAAAAGTAACAGTTTTTTGTAGTTTGTAGTAAGTAGTTTTTGGATATAGAGAATTTACTCCCTGGGGACTTTAGCTCAAATGAAAAGTAAACCCTAGTCTCATAGGTGGGTACTGAGAAGAGAACCTCACTGAGTTTCTAGACAGCGGGGGAAAAAAAAAAAAAATTGCCTTCCACTGACTGCAATGCAAAATCGCCTCCCACTGACTTCAATGTGAAAACGCCTCCTGACTCAATGAGCAATCCCTCCCACTGACTTCAATGTGAAAACTTCTGTCAATAGCAATCCTATGTGCATGCCAATCTACTCCATCACTAGCGAATATGGAACGCACCACTAGAAACTCACACAGGACCCTTTTCGTAATGGTACTCAAATGGGATCCACGTGCATCCCATCTGTGTGAACCACCTCAATAGGAACACATAATATCTAGCCTGTCATATGAATCTGTGCATTTGAAAAAGCATCCAGAATTGCATGCGTGTGAAGCAGGGTGGTTCCATTCACACCTGGGCATTTTGGGATAGCAGCAGAATCACCCAGAGTCTACCCCACAATTGCAAAATGAAGATTCGGTGCCATTTCAAAAAGGTACCTAAAATGTGGAGCAGTTTTGCCACGATTGTCACATGACAAATCACATCACATGAAGTTTGTCACCCCCAAAAGATGCTCCTGCTCCTTTTTGGGCAACAAACGTAATGTGATGCAATTTGCTGCAAAAGACGTGCAATAAATCACGTCTTGTGACAATCAAAGCAAAACTGCACTGCATTTTAGGTACAATTAAAAATGACACCTGAACATGTGTTTTGCAATTGTAGTGCGTTTTGAGATTGTGGACAAAATTACAGCGCTTTTGCTGTAATCCCAAAATGCCCACATTACACATACATACATACATACATACTGGAATTTGCGCAGCTTCAAATGGTATACTGTTATGGCGGGGATAAGCGACTTATAGTGGGAATGTGATAGGGTGGCAGGAAATCTAGCATTAACAGATACTGGCTGGGAGGGTCACTGACAGGGACACTAACACAGTGATAATACTGTACACAGGCACTGTACTAATGACACTGGCTGGGAAAAGGTTAACATCTAGGGGCATTCAAGGGGTTAACTGTGTGCCTAACTATGTGCAATGTGTGTAACATGTGCTGCTTTTGCTTTCTAATCTAGCCATTTTTTTCTCCTTGCTGTTCAGGGAGAAGAAACAGCCAGCTTGCTATTCCTGATACAGAGTTCTGTGTGTTTGTAAACACAGAACTCTGCTGTGACTGGACACAGCCAATCAGCAGATTTTAGCCAAAATCTTCTGTAAAACTCATCTGTCCAATCACAGCATGGGTCAAACTCAGGGAGAAGGCCATCAAGAACATGCACGCCTGCTAGCAGCATATTTACTGTGAGGAGTCAGCAGGTATTTAATATATAAAAAGACTCCTTGGTCTGTATAACAAGGCAAAACGCTTGCTTTCAGGAAATTACTTAAAATAGAACTTCTGAGAATATGCTACTAGTTTTTTTTTTTTTTTTTTAAATGTAGTTCTTGTGACTTACTATGTAAACCATTCAAGAACAATAGGACATTTTATAGCAATAAGCCTGTGTCTGCTGATCATACACTCCATTCTGCAGTCTGTAATACTGAGAGTAGGCAGCACACGGTCATATACTTTATCATGCATGCCACCCAAACTCAACCCCATTGAACTGCTGAATGAATTAGACTTTGTTTCAGTTAGCAGTCAACACAATGGGAATCATGTTGTAACACAAGAACAAAATGTATTCCATTACCTACTTAGTCCTAGCTGAATCTGTGTATCACTTAGAGGAGAACAAAGTGTCAACTATGCAATAAATTGTGACATTATGGGTTATGCAAATCAAACTCCCACTAAACTGGCAACCAGTTTGTAAATAGGAGTATTCTTGTCGGACAGAATATTACTACCATTAACGAATGTATACAACAGGTTATCAAAACCCCTGCTTGCTTTATCGTGTCTGCATGCATTCCCTCCTTCAATTCACAAATATACTAGTAGATAATTGACTTCCTCCAAAATTTGTCCCTAGCTCATGTGTATGAGTGTGATAAAAACTTTAGATTGGGAGCTCCTTCAGGGAACAAGACTGTTGTGAATAGTCTTGCATACTATATAATGTGTTACTTGATATTTTAGTGCAGTATAAATATGGAAAATAAGTATATTTATGTTCAAGAATTTTCATATTAGCATGGCAACAATTACATTTTTAAAATGACAAATTTTAAATACCACAGGGCTAACTTCTTCCCTCATCCTCCCGATCCCATATATATTGCTGACTACAAAACTCAAAAAGATAAATAGTCATTATCATATATGGGCTGCAACCCACTTTGTCTGCTCCATGGAGAGGATGGAAGAGAAGTTTGACACAGACTCCAGTATACTGCACATTCAGTCTCCTCATAGACTCTTCTGGAGAAACAGTCTTAGAAGCATGAAACCAGCTCACATGTGGAGTGGAAAGGATGAAAAGGTCACCCAACCTGGTGTGCACAGTTACTCATGATGGGGGGGTCCAATGGTAGAGGCTGGCCATACATGGATCCAAATTTGGAAGGTTTTTGCAGAGATCAGTTGAATTTCAATCCACATACAGGCAAGCCTGGTTGTTCTCAATTGACTTGGGCACAACCAGCCTGTTGGAATATTTTCTCTCAGTAAGTGATGCCACCATAGCTGATGGTGCCTTTTAAGCACATTCTGATGGCAGAGAAATGTCCCAGCTGTCAGAATACAAAAGCTCAGTGTGAGGGATTCCCTTGTCCACATTGAGCCAGTCATTTTCCTTCATTCAACCCGCTGGTTGAATGTAAAAGAAAAAAAAAAAAAAAAAAAAGACTGGTATATGGCCAGCCTAAGTTCTATAGTGCTTGATACAATTGAAATTCCCAGCAAATAACATAAGAAACCTGGTCACTATAGGCAACAGCTGCATTTCAAATTTAACTAAACTGATCTGGAGATCTCAGCAAAGTTTGACATGCCATTTTACATCCAGCATTTGCTTGCTTCAAATAAAAAAAAAAAAATAAAACTGTGGTTTCCAGACTACAAAAAAGTTAAAACAGGTCACTTCCTGAGCAACAGCTTCAGTTGATGATGAAGCAACTGCTAATCACAGATAGCAGATGGTGTGTTCCTAAGCCACAGTTCCATTAACTGTGACACTTTGTTCTGCATATGGATGAAAGATTAGGCTAGTC